CGTCAAGGCCTGCGCCACGTCGGAATGTCAGGCGCACTTTCTTCGAACACGTCGAAAACTAACGGGACTGTTTTCAAAATGAAAGCTTACACAGTAAGTGCAGCAGTGCCTCAATGGGCGAAAAGCATTGATTCGGCTCTTGGATCTACATTCCAAGCATAGGGAAACATGGCCGACCGTGACAGATGAGGAACTAATATAGTAGTGGATATGACAGAGGAATGGAATGATTTGTAGATCGTCGCGGTCGGTATTGGCGACTGTTCTGTGGTGTAAGGGAAACTTAGGCAGCAGTACCACAAGGATCATGCTCGCAAGGTGGTAGTCGGTCATAAGGGGCCCGCCTCGACGAAATCACTACGGAGCAACCACACATCACGCAGACCTCTTCAGAGCACGAAGGTCGGATCCGAATGGATGCTGAAAAGATCGTGATCATTGCAGCTGTTTCTTCATTATTTGAAGCATCGAACGGAAGTCATTGCGGATGCCACACAAGCGCGCCTAGGTAGGACATTTCGCTCGAGCGACTTTCTGGAGAGATGCAGCGATTCAGCCTGCTTAATACAACGTCTGAGCTCATCCCCCGTATGGCCAACTGGAATTGTCGCACTGATCCAATTTTCACCACGCCCCATGGCACGTGCTTTTGCACTTTGAACGGCACCCGTGACGAGGCAGAACGCCACGTTGTGCTGCAAGCTCGCCACCTTCCTGACTTTGGCGCATCTTTGCTCATCGTACGGTGGAATCACTTCACCGTGCAGCTCATGCCTGGTATTGGTAGCCAACTTGCCACAGTGAAATCGGCGCCATGATGCACGCAACATGTGCCCATGCAAAGCATATCCGAACTCAAGATGAACAAGCCACAATCCGCATGTCACCAACCATTTCCCTCCAGAGTCCAACCAAACTCACTAAGAGCATCACACACCAACGACCGTAGCGAAAAAGAGTCCAGAATGAAATCGAGCAAGCTCCCGCACGTTGCTGTTCGCCGAAGCAGGTTGACAGACACAAGCTGCACTCCACTGGGCAACCGCAGCCTGCTCCACACCCGCGGAGCCCTTTCAGATTCAAGAGTACGCCGAAAACGCTTTTGCACGGGCAACAGTTAAGCGCAGCGTCAGGAGATCACGGGCTTCATACTTAACCCAGCACCCACTACAGACATGCAACTTTATCGTGAAGTTTAGATGTGGGCGCGAAGCTGAAGGGCATCGGTAAAGGAAAGGGTCCCCTGTTAAAGGAGGAAAATGGAGAAGTGAAAGCCCCGAGCTGAGAAATGCAGACTTCAGTGCCGTGGAAAGGAGGCTCGCGATGAGTTTCGTTTGTCATCTTTGGGCGTAGCCCCGTGAAGATCTTCCTGCACGGGCACCGTCCTTGCAGCACTGCCGGTACTGCCAGACTTACTCGATACAACTCCTGTTGTGCAGACCGCTTGCCTTGGTGCTTGCTTGAGGCGGCCTCTTCTTCCCCTTTGTAGTGCCTGCTTGTTCTGAATTGCAAGTAATGCCAGCCCTTTGTTGACACAGTTCTGTCGCCTGGCTGTGGCAAGCACTGTCTACTACGCAAGGCATCACGCACGAAGGTGAAGAATGTGCCGCAGCATGGTGGCTCTACGTCTTCTTCACGCTGCCAGATGCTGCCGCGGAGCTGTAATCGCTTTACAGGCACCTGTCCCACAGTCTGGCTACCAATACAGACAACAGACCAAGAACATGACTGAGCGCTGGCCTGGGGCATTGCGACATCAACAAGCTCTACCGAAATCCTGTAACTATATTAAGCAGCTGGCGAAGGCCGACCAGTCACGCACAGTTTCGCCAAGACTGTTCCACGAAGAACTTGAAGAATGGCAGCTTTGCAGCTGCTCTCTTTTGCTTGACAGCGCCCCCCGTGCGCTGCAATGCGCTGCATCTTGGTCAAGTGGCAAAGCCCGGTCAGGTTGCCATGAGCTCCCCGCTGTACATGCCAGATGGGCCAGATTCGTGCTTGGCTCCGACCGCTAAATTAGCCGTCCCGTGTGCTCCACCACAATTGGCTCGCGAGCGAAGCTTAGACAACGTCAAAGAGCCACTTCCTCGGCGCTTCGTGGGATGTGCGCGAATTGTGAGTCGCCGGAACTCAGCCCCAGGCCACGTGCCCGAACCTGAATTCGGCACATGTCATCACATCTTACACTCGCCCGAAGTCAAGGATCCGTGCTGTCTTTCTCGGAACGGACTGCCGCAATTCGCCTGTCCCAGTTCGTTGAAACTTGTTATGCGACTCGGGATAGACCGACACGGCCACCTCTGCCCGAGCTGCGTAAACGCGTTCGAGCCTGCCGCGACGAGCAATGCTGGAACAACTTCGACGCATGCTGACAGAGGCTCAAGCCAGGCCCATGTCGCAACGGAGATGTAAACGCGCAGCCTTCTAATCACTCCATCGGCATCGCATGGGCAGGATTTCTCGGCTGGATTCTAGGCAGCTGGGGCTGCGACTGAACTTCGGCACGATGACACGCAAGAGTCTGCAAACGAGTAAGTTGCCGTTTTTTTCGGGCAGAAAGGTGGCAGATACGAACTTGGTGCGCTGCTCGAGGAACTTCCGAGTCTGAGAAGGAAACCATCTGCCTTACAAATGGCCGGAAGCAGATGAAGCGCTACGAGTGCCCCTGGAAGCCCCAAGCCACGGAACTATTACTACGAGTGGTACCTTGTAGAAAAAGATTTCACTTCATGCCACATGAAAACTGACGACAGCCTCGAAGTTCTGCAAAAAACTCACCACCTGCACAGACAGTGGCAGGTACCCGGGAGGCTGCCCATCTGTGGTTGTAGCTGCAGCTCATTTGACAACTGAAGCGCCTCCAGTTTCGTTGCCCGGGTGGTGGGCTGCTCTGTCCTCGCTCGGGGTCTGTGTCACACTGCTCTGCCGACCAAGAGAGGGACTTGGCGCGATACGACGTGTGCTGACTTCACCTGCGCAAACAGACCAACTCAGTCGGGTGCAGCTTGCGGCATGACCCAAACATGCCCGGAAGCACGGCTGAATTGGCAAAGGATGCAGGAGCCAGCAGCTTCGGCAACTTCTGAGGCCTCGACTCGGACAAGCTAGGGCCTAGGGCTGTATGGCATCCCTCTCTTGGCATCCCGCATCTTGACGGCTGAAGCCATTGGGTGTCCCAGGAAGTGCTGTCGGAGTGCATTCAGCAACAAGTGGACCCGCCAGCTCCCTTGAAATCTCAGGGCCGTCTTGTTCTTGAAGTCGTGCTCTCCATCTCCCGGTGTCTTTGCTCGTTCGCCGTCACGTCGCAATTCCAATAAGTCCTGCCTCGTTGCCTGGGGCACGCAGTTCTCGGCACTTGTGCCCCCCTCAACAAGCGGAACAACTGCATTTGAGCCACCAGCGCAACCGCTGTCACCCGCTGAGGATTTCGGCAGTTCAGCTGTCGAAGCTTGCTGATGCAATGCTGGAGGCGCTACGTCAAAGTACACACGGTTTTCCTGCAGCATGCTCCTCAATTCACGGCTGGAAGGCCACAGAATCGCATAAGGCTCGGTGCGAGAAGGCTTTGTCTGCTGCCCGTCGGCAGGCGATGTCCACGTCCCAGCTCCTTCACCGAAGACAAGCACCGAGAATCGCTCTGCTTCGATGCTGAATGAAGGCAGCGCGCCCTGCTGGAGCAACAGCCACAAGCTCCCATAAGCCTTGTCCCAGTCTTGGACATCCTGAACCTCGTCCTCTTGTCCGACGGATCGTGTGGGACCTTCCAGCTCGTACCAGGAGAGGCTGGCAGCGAGCGCACCAAGCCAGGTCAGCGCTTTGCTCTCGTCGGCCAGGAGGCACGGGAGAGCAGCACTGCAGGCTTCAAGAGCAGCAGCTCGCACGGGACCACTGAGATCTTTCTTGTCACGTTGGCACAGCAGAGCCGTCGGCAGACGTCTGAGCCATTTCCAGGACGTACAGCTTGTTGACAGTCTGAGACTAGAGTGCACCGTCTGATCAGACAACAAGTCCTGGGCTGATGAAAGGCTGGGCAGTTGCTGCGCTGTCTCTTCGGTTGCGGATTGAAGTCGCGACAAAGTCCGTTGCGACTTTCCCGTCTCTTTCCAAGCACTGTCCTTCTCATGGTCCAAGGCCTCGAAATCCTGACTCGCTTGTGGAGCAAGAATAGGGCACGCTTCGGCCGTGCCGATTTCAGTTGTGCCGGATTTCTTCGGAACTTGGAACTTGGACAGCTGCCTCCTCTTCCTAGGCGGTTCTTGCTCCTCTTGTTCTTCCATGGCTCGCGCCATTTCTTCTTGCTATCTGTTTGCTGACTTTGGAAGCACGGCGCCGTCTGGTGGATGAACCGAGGGTTGTGAGGCAATTATGCACTGTCAACTTATTTAGCCGTCCTGCTTTGTAAAGGCTTGGCAATGAGGCCAGCTCAGGGCAGCGAATGTGCATCGCTGCACATCGATCCTAGATTGCTGCAGCGAGTCTTGCACATTCCTCAAGGACTTTCCGCACATGAGGACTGCACGAGTAAAATAGATTCTTAAATAAATGGCTGCTCTCTTCGTGCCCATCAGCTCAGTACTGCAACGTGCGACAGCGGCTTCTGAAGCCCCTGTCTTCGCGCTAGCAGGATGGACCCAGTGTCGCCCCCATCACAGGCGCAGAGAGCAGAACTTGTTCCCAATCTCTACCGTCACTCCTTTGGACCGGCTTTGGTGAAACTGCCTCTTTGGGCAAAGAAACGGCGGCAATCTCGAGGCCAAGAAACATCGGCCTGTGAAAAAGGTCGTTTCCCAGAGGAGCTTTAAGCTCTCGGGCACTGGCTGGTCAGTTAGTCGGAGTGATGCCCTGTCACTGATGGAGTCTCGCAAGACCGCAGAAGACAGAGACGGCTGCAAGATTCTCCAAGCCTGCTTGGACCTGCTTCTTCGTGTACTCTCTCTGCCCGAGGAGTCACCGTCAACCTGCTTGAGGCCCTGTGACCGGAGCGGGTGCAGTCAAGAAGTCTAGCAGCTCACCGAGGATAAGTGCAAGCGAGTGCAAGCTTGGCTGAACCCATTTTCCACGCTAGCAACGGGTTTCGAGCTTCCAGACCTGCGGCTGGTGTGCCCGAAATCTTCGTGAAATCCACTTAATCACCAGGAGGCCGGGAGGTGCCTGAGATTCTCGTCTGCATCCGGATGCCACAGGTCCAGCAGCAGCACGACCTGACAGTGCTCCGGCACGGCGGGGTCCACGGAGCCCGCACGGAGCTCTGGGACCCCTTTTTTGGTCTCTGCGCCGCAGCTCCCGCTCCCGGGCTCCCGGGCTCTCGCTTCTTGCGCCAGGCCGGGCGGCTCGCCGGGCTCGCCGTCGCTCTTTGGAGCGGGGGGGGTTCTTGGTGGAAGCCTGCAGCGACCCCACGGCACTGGCGATCGCCCGGCTCAGCCTCTGCCCCACATGCAGCCCACATGTGTAAGTCTGTCGCTGTATTTCATGCTCAAAGCTGTCATCGAAGACCAGGCACCTCCACTTCTCAGGCCACCACCCGCAGTTCTACGCAGAACAAGTCTGGACTTGAGCAAAAGGACGCAAAAGCTAGACTAAGCGAAGAGAAGCCAAGAAGATCCTCACCTGTGAAGCTCCCAATCACGGGTCTCGCCGGCCACTTTGAGGCCGGACATCCGCTGCGCTCCACCGGGAAGCAGCAAGGGCAAATGAAGCCTTCCCCAAGTCCCTCTGCAACGACACGAAAACTTCCAAGAGCTCGGCCTCAGTCGATGGTTGGTTGGCCCACAGTGCGGCATGATCGTAGCTCCCAGCCTCCGTGCACTCTCGCTCGTTACTGAAATCTCATGACCCGTAGCGGAATCCTGTCCCCTGTCCCCGAAACACTCGTCACGGATGCAATATGGGCTCTACATTTTGATCCTGTGACATGCCGGATATTTGGAGCATGAAAAACAGTAACAAAAGAGAAGACCATATGTAAACCTGCTCGAAGCATTCTCGATTCCTGCCTCAATTGCGATACATCAGCGGGTGTAAAGTCTAGTTAGAGGAGGACACGATGCCTGCATTGCTTTGTCAGGAGCGACCTGTCAAGACTGCAAGGAATCAAGCCATCATGCGCGGAGCATTACGCACGAGATCAGCATCGGGCGGGACGGCTCAGATTACATGGGACGATCTAGTCCACGCGACCCTCGGGAAAAATGAAAAAGCTTCTTCGTGCCCTGTTCGAGGTTCGAGATCATGGACCTGTGCGGATTGAGTGCCTGTTCCCGTCCTCTTCTGAGTCATTTGCATGGGCATGCTGTGTGCAGAGAAAGGCGCGCAGAAGCGGCAAAGGGGAAATCCGCAATCACTCAGGTATCTGCAAGCACCAAGTGACCAAGTACCAGGAAACAAATCGCGAATGTTGAGGTCAACATAGGTCAACAACACAATTCTTCACTCAGTCTAAGAGCCTGTAGGTATAGGCAAAGACGACACCTAAGCATCCTGATGAGGCCAGAACATCAACCCGTGCAGGTGCATCTTCATCTTCTCATTAACGACCCTGAAGCAAACAGAACGCCTTCACCTTCGCAACACGTCGCAACACGTCGTAACACGCCGGCCCTTTTAAGACTCTCTAGCTTCAACACTGCTGCAAGGTTCTTGCACACTACTAGAAGCACAGCTGAACTGTCGACGGTTGGAGTTTCCCCGGAACATGGAGAAGGGTACAAACCAAAAGAAAGTCGCAACCCTGAATGCAACATCGCAGTTCTACCATGCAAATTCCTTTTGTCTCGCGCGTCGGTGCATGTTGGCTGACACGATGACAGACAACCTACATCGGGTGACAGCGGCTTATGCGCCCCTGTGAGAGGCTCTGATCTCCCAGTCGCCAGTCAGCTTGCGTGAATTTGAGTCTTCGCGAGGTACAGCACGACCAAGCTGCCGCCATCCAACGACCGAGCGTCGTATGTTCATGGCGTAGGAGATGAAGCCTCCCTGGTTCCGGCTCAGTTAAGTACTTGTAGTCATCTGCGCGCAAGTGCCAGGATGTGCTTTGCAGCAGCAGCCTCGGATACCTTATTCCCGAAAGCATCGCGAAGGGTTCTTCCGTGCGGAGCCCTCTAGAGAAGTACATAGATGACAGACATAGAATCGAGCACATCGATAACATGCAAGGACTGCAGGACTATGCTTGACATACTTGACACTTGACTCTACGACACTTGACGCTATACTTGACATGTGAACTGTACTTGACATACTATACTTGACATACCTGCCACTTGACTCTATGACACTTGCCTCTATACTTGACATGTGAACTTACTTGACACTTGATTCTACGACACTCTTGACTCTATGACACTTGACTCTGTGACATTGTGACTCTGTATCTACATCTCGGTATCTAATCTCTCTTCTACAGCCAGGGCTCTGTGTCTACGTCTCGGTATCTAATCTATCTTCTTAAGCCAGGGTGGCACAGTCGTCATCGATCGGGAATGCAACCCTTCACAGGGACGCCACAAAATTTCGACGGGCAAACTATGCTGTTGTGATTTCTTCTAGAGGGCCGTATCCTCTTACATTATCGCAACCTACCCTTTCACACGACTCTCTCTCTCTCTCTCTCGCTCGCTCGCTCTCTCGCTCGCTCGCTCGCTCTCTCTCGCTTTCTTTCTTTCTTTCGCCAGGGCTCTGGTCTAGGGGCTCTCTCTCTCTCTCTCTCTCTGTTTGTGTGTATCCAAACCTGTAGACCGTACAAGCGGAGATTTTGCTTCCCGATGCCGAGCGGATGAGTCGCTCGCTGAAGAAGCCATCGAGGGACAGGTAAAGTTGCACATTTTAGGCGCCGCTCGCAACCCTTCACAGGGATTGGCCTGGTCGAGCGCTCAAACGCTAGCTAAAGTTGCACATTCTAGGGGTTTCACTCTACACTCACACTGCACAGCTCTCGGCACGCGTGCAAACCCTTCTTTTGCGCGCAGTGCACTTGAAAGGTGCTTTGCCCCGAATTGGGGCTCAGGGGGATGGGTGGGTGGGCTACCTAAAAAACTAAGCTACCTTGAGCCTAAACGTGCGGTGAGACCGAGGTGAAACCCTACGCACACTACGCTGTACTAACCGAGTTTCACTCTACACTCACACTGCACAGCTCTCGGCACGCGTGCAAACCCTTCTTTTGCGCGCAGTGCACTTGAAAGGTGCTTTGCCCGGAATTGGGGCTCACCCCCCTCCATACCAACGGAGCCGGGACCGAGGCGGTCCTCGGCTCAAAGCCTCAGAAGGAGAGAGGGAAGCGTAGGTTTCCCTTTGCCCAAATATCAGAAAAGTCCTCGTTGAGATGCCCGGGACCGAAACGGTCCTCGGGTTCTCTTCAAGGGGGTATGAGGTCCACCTCGGCCATTGCCTTGGCTACCCCTTTGGACGACGCACGGGCATCCCAAATATAGCCGTGATACACGTCACTCGCCCACCGCCCAAAACGCTGCAACTGGGCCGAGTTTTGATAAGCCGCCCAGATGGCGGACGCGCCGCCAAATCTCAGGGAATGAGCTCCTGTCGCTCCCTGCATGCCTTGGTGTTCTGCTGCCTTAGCGATGAGCATCTGGAGGCATTCGCGGGTGACTCCTCTAAGGAGAGGCTCACCGGATTCTTCTCCATTGCCATGGCGTGCTGGGAAGGTCGAGAAGAAGCGGATCGCTGCATCCACGGGACACAGTGGTGGGACTCCTCGAAAATGATTTCGAGTAGTCCCACGATTGAACCTGTCCGTCTTACTCCCCCGAAGGGTGATCACGACCTCGTCCGCAGAGTGAAGATCCTTCAGATCGCACTCCTGTCCCCCCTTCCTCAGTCTCAAATCTGTACCCTTAAGGTGTCTGGAGTCAGGAAGGTAAGGGACAGGGAGGAACTCGGAGGCCCTCAGGAGGAAGAAGTAACCCAGGCACAGCGCGAGCCAAAGACCGGGTGCTTCGTGCGGGGCATTTTCCCAAAGTTGGGTGAAGAGGTACGCAAGCATCGTGGGAGTCACCGGTAGCCTCCGAGTTGGCGTTGCATACCTCTTCTTGAACCCCGCGAGGACAAGAAGCAGTCGCGGTTTCCCCTCCAGTGGGTCTTTAAGCCCGAGGGAGACGTGAGCCGATTTGATGGCCGCCAGCCTCATTTTAAGGGTTCCTGGTGCTCTCGCCCCGTTGATGGCCGTGTGGAGGAGGAAGTCCAGCAGGTGAGTCTCCTCCTCGCTGGGCTCGCTGCCGCTGAGCAACCAGGGGATGCCTCTGCGGAGGCAAAAGAGGCGCCACCACTTTAACTGCCCTTGGTAGGCCTTCTGTGTGGTGGTGGTAAGGCGGTCCATGGCGACTCGGAGAGCTTCTGCCTCAAAGGCCTCACGCGTGGCCAAAGGTAGAGCCAGCTGGGGAGGCTTGGAGCCGTACAGCCTTTTCGCGGAAGAGGGCCCTCCGAGGAAAGGTGGTTCCTTCTTGTTCTTGACCGGACCGGCCGGTTCCTCGTAGGAGGGTTCTTCTTCCATCTTTTGGAAGGTGACCCTGCGCTGCGCCTTGGCCCCACATCGAGCCTCATCCTCACGCTCATTCTCGCACTGAGTAAGGAGAGGTCCGGGAATCAAGCATTCCTCGGACCCTCCTTGCTCCGGTGCTTTATGAGTGACTCCCGGGAAGCCCGGCTGCCCCCAAAGGCAGCTTCCCAGGAGTCCCAGGAGGAAGAAGGTCACGCCTATGAGCATGAGATGCGCATAGGCGTGATTAGTGTCTCGAGTGGCATTATCGTGGTTGCGAGGCCCGAGGTCGGCCAGGTACCCCCAGCGCGCCTCGGGTCCACAATCGCGACATGGTTGCGCCGCTTTGTGAAGCGGTCGAACCAAGTTGCAGCTTGGAGCGTGAAACACTGCTTCATCGCGAAGGAACTTCACTTCCACCTTGCCCCCATATGGTTTCCTCCTATCCCGGGCTTCCGGGACGGGGATGAACGTCGTAGGGGCACACGCCGGGCAGGGGTGGAGAACATAGGTCTCATGCCCGGAAACGTGTGGGCAAGAGGGCGGTACGAGGTTCCGCGCGGTGTGCAGCAGATCGTCGTGTTTCCGATCCTCCTCCTGGCCAGCTGCCCCATAGCTCCCGCCTGTGGTGGTGGGGGCGGGGTTCTACCGGCTCCACCTTGGGGCAGTGGCGGAGGCATGGGAGGTGCCTTTGCGGTGCCGCTCGCTTGGCTAGACGAGGCGGCTTGGTCTGCTACCATCCTGAGGGGAGGTGGCGGAGCCTTAGGAGAGAAGGCTGCCTCTTGCCTTGGTGTGCGCGGGGCATTGTTACTGTTGTCCATACGCTCGCGCCTCCGACAGCAACCTCTGGCGCGACGCCAGCAGAACTGGGCCCAAAGGCAGGCCACGACGCCCAGAAGGAAGCCCTCGAAGAGGCCCGTCTCCCAGAGGTAGGCCTCGGCTCTTCCGCTTTCTCCTAGCCCCGCCACGCCTAGCGCGCTTCCCCCGGTAAAAGGAGTAAGAGCTCCCCCCTCCGAACGTCCGGGGCCGAAACGGCCCTCGGACCTCGGGGGTGTCTGCTCTGAGTTCCTCGTCCGGTCCCGGGCATGCGCGATTGCGTGGTTGGTGTCTCGATCCGCATCATCGTTGCGGGCCTTCTCGCGGAGCCTCTCCTTTCGTTGCTTCTTTTTGAGCTTTCGCCGGCGAGTAGAGTCCGGGGGACGCTTCGCCTGGCGCGTGCCTTCCTGCGCAAGAAGGGCACGAAACTCCCGCAACTCAAGGCGAGCTGCTTCCTTCATTCTCTCATCCAGCGCTTCGCCTGTCG